TAAAGAGATGAAGAGTAGAAACAACAAGAATCAGGAAGAAAAAGGAGAAAGAACATACCTAAGGTCAATACACAAAATTCCCCCTTCTCCATCGCGCCAGAATCCTCAGGTCTTCAAATCATGTTTGTTTCGTGATTCAATCATATACGCTTCGGGCTACAATTCCCTTTCAAAGCTAGAATCCGCGAGTTCTTCAGACTTAGGGCATCACACTCATTCTCCGTCGCTTGTTCTCCATGAGAGATTAGTGATATATTCAGGTTCAGGAAGGGATTTCAGGTCAGGTTCATGTTTAGGAGGGAGTCGAATGGAGGAGGCGATGACACCATGAGTCCGCCAGAAATCGGAGAGAGAAAGGAACCGTGTTTGGAGGTTGAAGTTGAACGACCACTCTATTAACCTAATATGAGATGCAGCGTTTCCTCCATGGTTCAATTCTTATTTTTATTTTTATTTTTCTTTGGGTAATAATTGAAACATGCTGAAAAATAGATTTGGGTTGAAGATGTTCATTGTTGGACAAAGTTATGCTTCCTTAGGCACATTGATCATTTTTTGGTAGCTTGAAAGCTTGGAAATAAAAATTGTTATTGGATCCATTATTGATTGGGCTTGGTGTTTTAATCTGCGGGCTATACAACACTGTTGTCTACAATTTGCACCTCCTGGTGGCTCTAATTTTATTTTTCCTGTATAATTATCGTGTTTGATTTTTAGTTAATCGAGTGATAATTGTTGAAGATTTTATGAAGTTTCAAAGCTAGCAAAGATCATAATTTTCATCAAGGGAATTCGAGGAAGCTTTTTGGTAAAGTTTTCTTATTGCTTGTGTGGCTTTGAAGAGGCAACAAACCTTCTTCGTTAGGTATCATCATGACTTTATTTTTTTCCTCATTCCGCATTGTTTTTCGATTTCCTTGCCATGAGAAGTAGGACTATAGATGCATGTCTAGGAGTCCCTACTTTATGTGGGAAATTTTGTTTAAAGTCCTCAAAGGAGACAATGTTTGTGTTTTTTTAAAGACCTCAAAAAGAGGCAATGTTTGTGTTTGTTTAAAGTCCTCAAAAAGAGACAATTTTGCTAAAGTACACAAAGAAGGCAATTCTCCGCCCCTTTTATTTTGTGCTTGCAATCCAATCAATAAAGTGGAATAATAGGGCTCGCAATCGGCCCACACACTTTCTAGTCTTTGTCAATCTTAGCTCACGCCATACGTTGATGCTTTGAATCATCCATCTCTTGTCCTCGAGCCAAATAAAAGTGGAAAGGGATTGCTATCATCCCCACACTTTGACATTCATTTCGACGATGTTAGCTCACATTTCTTTAAACGTTGACGCTTTGAGTTATTACTCGATATTAGTGCTCGAGCAAATCAAGTGAAAAGAGTTCCCTACTCCCACTTTGAAATCCATTGGATTAAATGTTTGTTGCTAGCTCGCACTTGATTTTTGTTTTGGTTTTGGTTCGACTTTGTTCGATTGCACTCTGTGTGTTTATTTCCTTGCACCTTTGCATGTTCCCTTAGGATTGCCTGTTTCGTTTTCGATTCAAGTTAGACATTAGGATTGTAATCCATGCATGCTAACTTAGGTAGAGATTTCCCTTTATTATCTGAACCATAGGACCACCATTGTACGACAACACTAGGATTGTTAGTCTCCCTTAGACTTTTTCATTCCCCTTTTGCATTCCATCGAGACTAAAACTCTCTTTTTCTTAAATCAAAAATTTAAAACACTTAATCGTACTCTAACATTTTCAAAAACAACAAAATACAAACCAATCAAACGTGGTATTTTTGTCTTGAGGGTGTAACTTAAAACCATTTCAAAAGGGTTCGTCACCCATAAAAACACACAACAAACCAAAAATTTTGAGGTGAACTACGAGTTCCTTGATCCCCATTGCACGGTAGGTGGTACGTAGGCACAAAGGTTCACAACCAAGACAGGCACAACTAATACAAAATTTATTTTTTCTTAAGAAATGCATGCATGCATTCCCTTAGCAAGTAAGCATTAGATATAACACACTCTTTGATTAGAACAACAATAAAGGATCCCGTGGAGTACCACAGACGCGAGGGGTGCTAATACCTTTCCCTTGCATAATCGACTTCTGTACCCTTTCTCTTGGTCGCAAGACCATCTTATCCTTCATTTTGGGGGTCTTCTCGATATTTTCCCTTCCTTCGGGATAAATAAAGTTCGTTGGCAACTCTGTGTTTTTCGTGATGCGACAATGATGAATCACATTAAACCTTGAAATGAGGTTGCTTTGAAGCACACTTGATGATAAGGCTCATTGCTTGATGAAACTTGTTGAAGAAGGCATGAAAATAAACACATGAACCTATGAAGTTTCTTGATGACTTCAACCACTTACTTTGAAACAAACTTGACTAAATGAAGTTAAGAGAGATCTCAAGCCATAGAAATTTGATGCCATCATCATAGCCTTGAATTTCAAGATTTTAGAATCCAATGAATTGCCATTTGAATGAGGATCAACCTTCAAAACTATAGATTAGGAGGTGATAAGAGATGCACTTGGCTCTATTCCTACAATGTACAAAGCATAAAAGGAAATACATACATCTTTTTTGGATTTTGGTTAAGGGTTAGTGTTGTACCCAAAAATTTTCCCTCTAATTTTACTCAACATATGCTCATTGAAATCCTTAACCTACTCAAGGATGCCTAAGGATTGATCAGGCAAATGCTTCCTAAGACAATGAGCCTCAAACTAGGGTTTCCATTTTCATCAATATGGATGAACTACAAAGGTCTCAAATTTTTTCCATGGTCTTAATATGATCTCAAAATCATCCATGTCAAGTTCCATGCCTTGCACAGGGAGTTTGCTCAGTCAACTGCTCAAATGTTTGAAAATTAAATGTACTAGGGCAAAAGTCAACTGTGGCCCACATACAGTCAAACTTCAAGATTTTTGGTCAACATCAACATTTTGAAGTAATATCCATAATTTGATCAAGGTTTGATCATTATTCCTCAAGGAATGCCCCAATTCATCAAAACTCAAAAGTTGCTAAATTAGGGTTTCTATAGGAAAAGTCAACCAAATTTTGACAAGGCATAACTTTCTCATACTTTATCAGAAATTCCCCATCCGAGGCTCATTTTGAAGAGGATGTAATTCCTTACAACTCATATTCATCCCTCAAGTTCAAAAAATGCATTCATGAAAAGATATGAATTCAGACATTACAGGTTATTTCAAAAAGTCAACAAAAACACTTTTTGGGTCAAAGCTTCTTACATGAACATGGAAGATACAATTGAGGTGAAACCAAAAGGTTTGTTTAGAGGATATCTTAATCTTTCTAAAAAGTCCAACAACACCCTCTTAGGATCAAAATTGAGAGAGATGTGCATTGTCAAAGTTGGCCATTTTTGGAAATTTGCACAAAGTCAACCATGCCCAAAATGCATTTTTCTTCAAATGGGTCTAACTTTATATGCTTGTATCTTGTTCCTAACATGGTCCACGACCCATGTACCACTCCATGCCTCATTAAATTATTTATTTGATTTATTGTGATTTTATTCATTTAAAATTCAAATAAAATCAAAATAAATCATGTAATTTGCTTTTGGAATGATTTTGGCATTGAATGAAGATGATATATGCTGGCATGACAATATCAAATCGTGCAAGGTGTGATTGGAGCAAGAATGGCATGATTTAGCTTATTTTGGAAATAAATAATGCAAGGATTAATCAAGATCTTTTCTACATACTTATTCAAGATTTAAGCTGTTTTTGTTGACCTAATACAGTCTAATACATATACACAATGCAGCCAAGGCAAAAGGACGAGGTTTTGGTCGTGAAAAGCATCAGAACAAAATTGAGTTTTTGCCAAAAAAAGTTAGGATCGGATTTCATTCCACATGACCATTCAAGGTGATTAAAAGTCAAAAATCAATTCCTGGGCGTGTAGTGAAGCTATCCCAATCATTCTCAAGCCATAAAACACCCAGAATCGCAAGGTACGGGACTTGTTCTTTCCGTTTTTTCTTGATTCTCGATTACATGTGTATGCGTGTTATCAATGAGGTTTGATCATGCATTCCTGTTTATTATAAGGTTTTGATGCTATATGAATGATTTAATTGAGTTTTAAGTGCAGGAATAGCCTAACGCCATTGTTAGGGTTTCAAAGTCCCAAATTTGGGACTCCCTGTAAAGGCAAAATTAGACCAAATCGTGGGCACCAATGAACTCAAGGCACGATTTCTAACTATCCTATGCCCTTAGTTAGAATTTATTTGGCTTATATTGCATTTTTAATTGTTGCAGGTTTGTAGCTATGGATAAAAACTGTCACTATAGCCTTTAGTGAAAGTTTTATCCGTAGGTAAAGGGTTGGCATCAAAGACGACACTCTGAGGAAAGAGACGATGAGGTGGCTGACTCCCATTGGCCGGTTTTGAATCTCGCACGTTTTCATATGGCACTGACCCTTCATTTAATATAATGTGTTTATGTTATTATATTGACAAATGAACAAGCTAGCGCAGTTGGGCAAATGAGAGAGGTATGAAGCTAATGTCCTGGGTTCGGTCCCAGGCGTGAGATTTTGCATTTTTTCCATTATTTCTTCACAGGATCCAGCGTGCACTACCCATGAAAGCCAGCGTACATCCTCCAAATCCAGTCAGTGGATCATCCTTAGATCCAGATCTAGCGCCCAGTGGAGAGCAGTGCACGGTGGAACCTACCAGATATGACTGCACTGAATCACACGCAATTATTTGGGTTGGCATCTTTGGCCCAACGAAAATCAGTAATACACCCCCTAGTTACTCAACAATACCAGGCCCAAATCAATCTTTTTAATTTCTTTTTTTGTGTTATTTATTTATTTAATCATTTTTTACAACAAAAAAATATTTTTTATTAAATCAAAAAACAACAAAAATCATTTTTTTATTAAAAATAAAAAATCATAAAAAATATAGAATTAGGTTATTTAAATCAATTTTATTGAAAATAAATTTGATTAATTAGATTCACTTGATTGTTTCTTTAATTAATTCTAAATAGAAAATTAGGTCTAGTTTGTAGTTAAATTATTTTCTCAATAAAAAAAATACACAAAAATATATTTCTTTAATTAATTAGGTTCTTTTAGGCTTCTGATTTATTCTCGTATTTAATTCGTCGCGCGCGCCTTTATTTTCTCTTAATTCAAATTATTGTAACTGTTTCAAGTTTTTAATAGATTAATTAGGATTTGAATTTCCGCATCTTTATTTTCTGTCAAATATTTGTGTATCTTCCCAAAAGCCTTGTAATAGTTA